GCTAAACAAGCAAACTTAAATCAAAACTAGAAAAATATCAATACATTAGCATTATTAATATCACAAAACTCCCACACAAAGATCCCTTTAAGAGAGCAACATGACTCATGTTGTCTGTTGAAGAATGTTTATGGGTTGATTGGGTTATTTTATGCTTTAGAATTAGCTTTTCCTAAAACTTTCAGTTCATTAGTGCTTTAGAATTAGGGGACCTAAATATTTGAGTTAACGCTTTAGAATTAGGGGACCTAAATATTTGAGTTAGCGCTTTAGAATTAGGGGACCTAAATATTTGAGTTAGTGTTTTAGGGCTAGTGGAACCAATTTTTAGATTAGTGCTGCCCACCAGTGTTTAAGACAAACTAACACTTCTCACCAGATCTCATAATACCATATGTTGCACATCATTTGCAGGATTTGACCAAATATGTTGTGATTCTGTCCTTTAGGTGATTTTAGTTTGAAATTCTGGCATGAATTGTGATGGGCAGTATATTCCTGATAAGTTTGTTGGTGCTTTGATTATCATTAGTCTGTCATGAACCGTGCTGAGAAGCTGACATTTACCTTAATGGTTGAGTATTCAGTAACATCCTTAATCACGTTTTTCCTAGAATATTCAGCCCCTGCTTCAACGTTCACAGACGTATTAGACATGGACTGCTCACTCGGAGAGAATTTGAAGGAAAACCCAGCATCGATTTTAAAAGTCTGTTCTTTCAGCATCTCTCGGAGGAGGGTGTGCGTGTCCTCGTAGATTTCTCTGGAGGCGGTTTCCTCCACCAGAGTCTGCAAGGACAGGAAGTGTTCAGTGGAAGGATCAACTTCATAATACAAATGGGACATTGTTGTGGCTAACCTCATAGTTGAGCACACCAACATTCCAGGGAAGCCTGTCGTACTTCCCATTGTACGGATTCCTCACTCTGTCACATCTTCCATTAAAGTAATCATTGTTGAAGGGGTTCATTCGAGGATCTGTACCCAGGATGTTTACCCTGAATGTGAACAGCAGGTTAAATATACAGACTCTTCTTTAGGAAATGAAATGAATATGAAGACCCCAAACCCAGACCCAAACCAGTGGTTATTCCGTATGTTGCGGGCATTTCGGAGAAACTGAGACGTTTATTTTCTAAACATGATGTCCCAGTGGCTTTCAAACCCCAAAACACATTACGGCATAGGCTGGTTCACCCCAAAGATCCGGTGCCCCGGCACAAACAGAGCAATGTTGTATATGCTGTTAAGTGCCAGGAGTACTGCGACCAGTTATACAT